GGTGACCCAGGATGCTCCTCGATGGTCCTTGCCGAGAACATGCACACGTCCAAGCGATGTCTAGTCTGAGGCATTTGGGCGCGGGAGAAATGGGTAGGATTCCTAACAACAAATGTTGTCCAAAACCAACAACGGTCGCTGTTGGGAAGGCGGCCTGCTGCCTCAAATCGACAAGGCCCGCGGCGACACCGACAACGAATCCTGTTCAAAAGGAACGGGACATTCTGCCAGTCTTTGTACCGTTCTTGCCGTACCCATCTCAATCATCCCGAAAACAACTTCTACTGATTCGCCACCGTGCCGCCATGCAATGAGGACACCCTCAGCCCCGCAGAGTCCTCAATGTTGGCTGCTGTTACTGCTCGTTCAAGGCCTCGAGGCCCATATTTCTCGCATTCCTGGGCGCCCCCCGTCGCCCTCCACTCGGAGGTCGCCCAGATTGGACCGACGCGGACGGGGTCGGCGCCGCCTTGCAGGTGCGTCGGCGACGTCGGGATGAAGGAGATCCGGCTCGGGATCGCGCCGCATCGCCGATGCATCGGCGTGGCGGCGCGACTGTCCGGCCGATCCTCGAGGGATGGACAACGCTGACCGTGACCGAGACAGCACGCGGAAACGCTGGTGCCGATCTCGGTCATCGCCCATCCTGGCCATCGCCTAATTGCGGATCATCCTCGCGCATCGGCGACAGCCGGGAAACTCAGCACGAGGGAGACGGGGGTCCTGGAGGCAGGTTGGGCGTCGGGTAAAGTGGGGGCGACGAATGAGGGGAGAAGAGAAGTGCCCTAAGAGCCCCCTTTCGGGCCCCATACGTGCCCTGCACGGACCCTCGATGAGCCCCCTCTTCTGCAGCCCTCCCCCCGTTGCGCGGCGCCCAAGCAGGCCGCCCTGGAGAGGCTCCGGTGCTCTCGGCCCCCGGGGCCGTCCAAACGCGGCTCGGGACGAGAAGCTGGTCCCGGGGGGAGGCTGCGGGGTCTACGGCCGTCGCGCGCGCTGCCAGGAGGACCGCCGAGTCAGGAACGAGGGGGCTTTTCTTAGGGGGACGAGTAACGGCATCAGCCTAAACACTCGGAGGTCCGCGCGGATTTCTCAGATCGGGCGCCGCCCCTGGCGCGCTCCGCGCGCCAGGGAGGGAGGTCCAGCGCCGATCCGAGAAATCCGCGCGGACCTCCCAGTTGTTATGCTCATGTCCTTGTTCGTCCCCCTATTTCTGGCCAAGGTGAGCCTCGGTCACGAAGAGGTCCCCTGACCTGGACCCATGGAACGGCCCGAGAACCCGGAGCCCCTCCTGAGCCGGAAGCAGCCCTTACTTCTGCGCCTTGACTGTAGAGCTAGGTCGGGCATGCCCGACTACAGGCAGATATAGGAGGAAGAAATGCTCAAACATAGTATCAAAAATAATTGAAAAATCGTCCCCAGACTATTCTTTGATCATCTTGGAATCTTTCTCCTGTAGAGGGACAGGCCCGACTTACCTGTAGAGCCCGTTCCCTGTTCCCCTCAAGGCAACTTTCCAAAGGGGTCCCGACCGCTTTCCTCTCCGAGAGGCCGGCTTGTCCAAGCGACGCGTTCCGACGGCTGCCAGGGCCCCCCGGATGCCAAAACTAGCGAAATGCCTTCCGTCGCGTTTTTGTCCGCGACATCGGCTGCACGGAAGGGCGACTCCAAGCAAGAATGACCTTGGGTGCGTGGCTTGCCGGCCGTTGCATACTTGAGCAGGGGCCGACCGTCCTGGCAAACCTATAAGCTTGCCACGACATGTTCTTAGAACCCGGACATGCTCTAATAACACAAACAGTGCTCTTATAACAGAAGCCCGATGTGTGCAAGCAAGACGGTCTCCGCCGGGCATGCTCTATCAACACTGCGTGCAGGCCACAAAAAGATCTTCGAACTTTCCTTGGTGGGCCTACAGCACTTTGTGGGCCCCGGAAACGGCGGGGCCGTTTTTTCACCGTTTCCAAAACATGTCTCTTGAAAATGGAAGCGGCAAAAAAAACGGCGACCAGAAACGGCAAAACAACGGCTCCAGGATTGGAACGGGAGCCAGAACCGGTCAAACAACGGCGACGGAACCGGTAAAAAAACGGCGTCGGAACCAGACAAAAAACGGCAAAACGGAACCGGTAAAAAAAACGGCCCTGTCGTTTCCAGGGCCCACTAAGCTACAGCATAGGCAAGCCAGGACGCTTCGCCGCTGCTCGGCACACGAGGCAGCAGCGGCAGCAGCCCTGAAGAACAAGCTCGGCTGTGGCCCCCTGGCGCCGCACACAGGCCGCGCACCGGAGGCCACTCGGACGCAGGGGGGTCACTCGAGTGTCGAGCCCTAGCTCGGAGGAGGAGGGGGAGGAGGAGGAGGAGGAGGAGGAGGAGGAGGAGGAGGAGGAGGAGGAGGACAAGTTAGGTGCGCTCGCGTCAACATCTGACATCCTACCCCTCCCCCCCATCCCTTACCATAGCGCTGATTTTCTCTATCCGCGGACGCGTGTCGTAGCGGACCTGTGGCTCCGCGCGCGTGTGCGTAGTGGGTGGTGGTGCGCGTGCGTGCGTGCGTGTGTGCGTGGTTGTGGTTGTTGAGGTGGTGGTGTGTATGTGTGTGTGTGTGCGTGTGTGCGCGTGTGCTGTGGTGTGACGTGGTGTGGCGTCTTGGTGGTTTGGTGGTGGGCCAGGTGCGTACGTGCGTGATGGCGGTGGTGGTGGTGGCGGTGGTGGTGTGTGTGTGTGCGTGTGTATATGTGTGTGTGTGTGTGTGTGTGCGTGCGTGCGTGCGTGCGTGCGTGCGTGCGTGCGTGCGTGCGTCCGTGTGTGTCTGTGTGTGCGCGCGTGTGATGTGGTATGACGCGGTGTAGCGTGGTGGTGGTGGGTGGGGTAGTGCGGTGGTGGTTGCGGTGCGCGGTGGTGATGCGCGTGCGTGCGTGCGTGCGTTGGTGGGTGGAAGTGGCGGTGGGTGTGCGTGCGGCGGGGCGGGGCGTGGTGCGGCGCGGTGGTGGCGGGCGGATGGGCGCGCGAGACAGAGGCCCGCGCTGGGGCGAGAACGCCATCCTGAACGACGGAGGTAAAACACCGATCCGAGAATGAGGCCCACGCTGCAGCGGGAGCACGATTCGGAACGATTCGGGAGCAGAAATGAGGCCGGCGCCTCAGCGAGAGCAGCATTTTGAAAAAACGCAAGCGAAAACCCAACTCCAGGGAATCCTGTGTAAAAAACCGTATGCGGGGGGGGGTCTAATACTTTCAGGCCGCCTTCGGGGGAAGAGGGAGAGTAGTATTCATATTGAGTAATTGTGGTGGAGGAGGAGGAGGAGGGGGAGGAGGAAGGGGAGGAGGAGGAGGAGGAGGAGGAGGAGGAGGAGGAGGAGGAGGAGGGAGGGAGGGATAGGAGGAGGAGGAGGAGGAGGAAGAGGAGGAGGGAGGAGGAGGAGGAGGAGGAAGAGGAGGAGGAGGAGGAGGGGGAGGAGGAGGAGGGGGAGGAGAGGAGGAGGAGGAGGAGGAGAGGAGGGGGGGGAGGAGGAGGAGGGGAGGAGGAGGAGGGAGGCGGAGGAGGAGGAGGAGGAGAAGGAGGAGGAGGAGGGGGAGGAGGAGGAGGAGGAGGGGGAGGAGGAGCAGGAGCTCTCATGGAACACTTCCTGCCTGTCTCTGGCGGCTGGCCGGGAGGACCGAGGCACCCCCGGAGCGCCCCCGGCGAGGCGCGGCTGCTCGAGCGCATCCCCAGGCAGGAGCACCTCCAGCATGAGGGGCAACGATAGGGGGGGATAGGCATACAGTGCCTCCTCCTCCTCCTCCTCCTCCTCCTCCTCCTCCTCTTCCTCGTCCTCCACCTCCTCCTCCTCTTCCTCTCCTTCTCCTCCTCCTTCTCCTCCTCCTCCCCCTCCTCCACCTCTTCCTCCCCCTCCTCGACCCCAGCCATTCTCCACCCAGGGGCCCCTGCGCGGGCGTCAGGGTGTTCGAAGTGGCGCCATCCACCGTCGCTGGTCTGAAATGCACTCATGAGGGGGGTCAGAATACAAGGAGCAACCTTAGGTCGGGCATTTCCTCCTACGTACAGTGCGGGAGCGGCCGCAAGAAATCCTCGCAAGAAACCCAACCCTGAGAACCCGTGCGCGAGGTGCCCCTGGGGGGAAACCTAGAACACCCTGGACGCAGCAGCTCCTTCCACGGCTGCGGGAAGTCGCCGCGCAGTGCGAGGAGCGAAGAACACCAGGATACCCTGACGAAAAAACATACGGTTTCTTGATGCGCGCCCCCACTGTAGGAGGGGGAAACATCGACCTGGAATGGGCGATACATCGCCGATGGATCGGCGATAGGCCCCCGATAGCGAATCCGCACCTTCCCGGGCAGGTTGGGGCTATGGGGCCCCTATCGGCGATCAATGGGCGATTGGGGGTCGATGCATCCACCCCTATGCCAGTCCCCCTTATCGTTGCTCTTGACAAGAGCAGACAGCAGCGTTCCAGAAGTGCTGCCGCGCACTGCGGCTCGTGGCCGGCGACGGGAGCTCTGGGTCCTCGAGCGTCGTCGCCAGGATGCGAGAGGCGGGAGCGTCCAGAGGGGGCGTCCAAGAGGGGGGCACAACTCATGGCCAGCGGCACGTGCGCGGCCCAAGGGGGGGGGCCAGAGACGTCATGAAATAAGAAGAGGCGCCATGAACTCTGGGGAGATATCACGGCCCCGGCCATGATATCCACCCCGGGGGGGCCGCAGACATGGATTTGCAACCCCAGAATAATCAAACAACTCTATAATATGACATTCCAAATAGGCAAAACAACTCAAAACATCGTCCCCTGATAATTGTTTGACAATTTTTGAATTTTCCTCCTGTAGAGGGACACGCCCAACTTAAACGTAATGAAATAAGGAGAGGCGCCACGAAATCTGGGGAGACATCATGACCCCGGCCATGATCTCCCCCACCCCGCCCTGGTCATCACCCCCTGCTTGGCCGCCCCCGAGATGGGCGAGAGCGCGCGGCGGCTGCAGTGGCCGGGGCGAGGCGCCAGAAGCGCGGGCGCGTCTCCTCGTGGACGGACACGGTCCTCCGCGCGCGCGGGGGAAAGGCGGTGTGCAGCAGAAGTGGCAATCGTCAGGCGGAGGAAGGACCAATAACAATAATAACCATGATAGAAAAAGGAGGCAGCATAATACTAAACAGAAGATGAATACGGATAAGACAAGGCGAATAAACAGATGAATCAAAGTAATGGTGCAGCCAATAAGGGACACAATAACAATGTGAATGCTCACAACAGGAAAACCACTAATACGAAGAAAACAAATAATAATGCCAAAGAGAATACTAATAATAACAATGAGGAGAAGAAGAAACACACGAATAACAAAAAAACGCAATTCGCCATCGTGCCACGAGTCACCAAAATGCCAGTCCTCGGGCCCCTTCGAGCTCTCTGCGCCGAATGCCGTGACATGTCTCTGGGACAGCCCCAGGCCCCCAACTCACGGGCGCTCTTGGGGCTCGTCGCGCAGCTTCTGCAAGAAGGCCGCGGAAACGTGATTTGGAATCCACACGTCCAGCTTGGCCAATCACGGTCCCGAAGAGTGTCCGGGCGCGCGCCTGGGAGGCTCTCCAGCCAGACCCTGCGGGCCGGCCCTCATCCCACCAGCCCTTCAGGGCGTGAGAGGTTTAGAGCGTTTCCACTCCTAACCCCCCCTTCTTCCCTTTCGGGGAGGGGCTGTACACCCCCCCCAGCCCCCTCCCCCTGGACCTGGACGGGGCGTTTCGCGAGGGGGTGGAGCGTCCAAGATTGGCCTCCTGGGGGTGAACGCAAACTTTCAACCTCCCCCTTCTTTGATCGATCACCTCTAAGAAGGACCCAAGATGGTCCCCGAGGTTCCCAAGAGCGCCCCAAGAGGCGCCCAGGAGGCCCCAAAAGTCCCCCAAGATGCCCCCCCCAAGATGCTCCCCCGGGACCGCCAAGAGGCCCCCAAGATGCTCCAACAGGACTACAAGAAACTCTCAAAAGACATCCGAAAAGACTACGAGACATATCCAAGAGGTCTCTGGCCTTCCTGTTCGCCCTCCTCCTTTGCCTCTTCCTCCTCCGCCTCCTCCTCCCTCCTCCTCCCTTCTCCCTCATCCATCCTCCCCCTTCCTCTTCCTCGTCCTCGTCCTCGCCCTCGCCCTCGCCCTCCTTCTTCTGCTTCTCCTCCTCCTCCTCCTCCACATCCTCCTCCCCTGATTCCTCCTCTATCCTTCCCCATCTTGGGGCACTACGGACTCCCAACCTTTATTCCACTGCGTGCTCCCCCACAGGCCTGATCAGGGCAGCTCGCCTGGGCATCGGTTCTGAATGGGCTGGTGGGGCTACGCGCAGCGTCTGCAGAGAAACCACAACTCGTTCCCCGAACCGTGCTTGCACTTTGGGGGTGGCTCTGGTTGTGCTTGATCAGATCAATTGGTGGGATGCAAATTGGGGGAAACTCCAGGGGGGGAGGAGGCGCAACCGAGGTACAAATTGTACCTACGCCCCACGGAGAAGGTACAATTTGTACCGACGCCACGCAGACAAGGTACAAATTGTACTTTTGACGACGTCCGCGACATGTGCGAGGATGTTAACGGGGGGGAGAAGGTACAATGTGTACTCTTAACCCGCAGAGAAGGTACAAATTGTACCCCCACAAAACGGTATCGGATACTCATCCCCCCATGTCCTGATCCCCCCATCGCGGCAAAACTTCGTCCGGTGGCCGCGCGGCCGTGGGCGCTTTGTGGACGCTTTGTGGGCGCTTGGCGGGTGCGGCGAGGTGTCGCCCGGAGGGCGGCCGCGGGCGCCTCGTGGGCGCACTGTGCGCGGGCGGGGGTGCGGCGAGGCGTCGCCGCGTGGGCGGCCGTGGGCGCCCCGTGGGTGGTGCCCCGTGCGCTGGGCGGGGTGCGGCGAGGCGTCGCCTGGGAGGCGGCCGGGGGCGCCTCGCGGGCGCCACGCGGCCCACGCCACACAACCTGCGCAAGACAGCCAGCACCGCGTCGCTGGCACCGCACAGCTCACGCCACCCAGATGGCCCCGCGCAGCCTGTACCGCACGGCTTGCACCGCGTAGCTTGCATCACATAGATTGGACCATCCAGATCGCACCACACAGCACACATCCGCAGTGCAATCACTCAACGTTTGGGGTCCACGCTGGTCGCCGGCCCAACAGGCCAGAGGCGTGCTAAAATCTCCAGTAACTGGTAATCAATGTTTGTAGCTCGCGCGCGCGGGGCGGCCCCTGGGGGTCCGCGGCCGAAAAATACAAGCAGGTTTTCGGCAGGTCCCCGGCAAGGTCCCATCAGAGATGGTTTTGCTCCTGAGCGCCGCCCTCAGGGCCGCCCATGAGCCCGAAAAGCGGCCCAGAGACCCTCAAGAGGCCCTCCAAATGGTCCTAGCGGCCTCCGAGACACGGCAAGATCGTTCCATGACGCCCAAGATGGCTCCCAGACAGCCCAAGAGGCCTCCGAGAGCAATCCCCAGATGGCCCCAAAATGCAACCTCAATCGATTCCCGTTCGGTTTTTGATGGATTTGGGCTTTCTCGCCTTTTCGGCTTCCCGACGCTCCAAGACAGCCCACGAAGCCCTCGAAATCGCCCCAAGACGGCCCAAAGGCCCCCAGGGGTCCCAGAACGGCCCAAGAGGGTTCTACGACGCCTCCTAGACTGCCCAAGATAGCCCCAAGGCGGCCACAAGAGGTGACCCAGAAGGGAAACCTTAACAAACATTCCGATCTCTCGGCCCCAAGAGGCACCCAGGAGGCCCCCAAGAGACCCCCAAGAGGCCCCAAGCGAACTCCAAGGAGCTCCCAAAAGCCTCAGCGGCCCCCAGAAGCCCCAAGAGGGCCGAGGAGGCTCAGAAAGACCCCCAAGAGGCCCCCAGAAGCCCCAAGAGGGTCGAAAGAGGCTCACATGATGCCCCTACCCTTCTCCTCGTCCGCATTATCATCCCTCTCTTCTACCTCCTCCTCCTGTTCCTCCTCCTGTTCCTCCTCCTCCTTGCCGTCGTCGTCCTCCACCTCCTCCTCCCTTTTCCATCCTCGCTTTTCCCTTTTCCCTCCTCCTCCTCCTCCTCCTCCTCCTCCTCCTCCTCCTCCTCCTCCTCCTCCTCCTCCTCCTCCTCATCAGACTCAGAACCCATGGAACCCGCCACAATTTCAACACTGTTTAGCACATCTCCGACTTGGAAGCTCGTGCCCATTTGACCTGGGATCCTGGGGAGGCTCTCTGCGAAACCGACGCCGTGTTGAGTATAGGCCAGCTGCGCACCACACGCTGGTGGCACTGGCCTGGCTGGCGACCCTTGGGGCAAACAACCCCGCTCGGGGCCAGCACCCTCGGCGCAAGGCTCAAACACATTACTGGTTATGTTCCCATCCCCCCCACCCAAGCCGTCAGAACCGCTCCTTCGCCTCTGCCTTTGTCCTGGCCCCTGTGGCGCGTGCGAGAGGGCATTTTCACCGCAGTGCGAACGGGCAAAGAGGCATGATTATAAGTCTGAACGCTGCTGCTGAAGGCACTGCTGAATAATTTTGGGTCCACACGGCCGCTCGCAATCAGTTGTGCCAGGCGTCTGCTGCTACTCATCTGGTCTACCTGCCGTCGCCGGGCAGCCTCGAGGTCTCGCGTTCCAAGGGCCCCCGCGGAACCGCTCCCTGAAGTTTTTTTCCCGCCCTCGAGCTCGATCGTCTTGCGAATGAGCGGGGTCCGCATTGCCGTCAGAGAGTGGTTCAGGTCGAACTTGGTGATGATCGTAGCCTTCTGTTCTTGCCCGTCCTGCTTCTTCTGAAGCTTCACGCGAAAATACCGGACAAGATCGCGCACGTCTCCCACGGTCATCTTCTCGAAGCGGTCTGCGAATAGCTGTTTCATCTCTTCCGAGATCTCGGTCATCTCGCAGTCCTGTGGTGTAGGATCCTCCATCTTCGATTCCTGTACTCGCAAGCGGCCATGAACACTGTCGCATGGGGTGGGCATCTGCCCTGCCAAATCCACGGTGTCGCCTTTGCTTGCCGACGCTCGAATCTCTTTTAGGTTGCTCTTCGTATTCCTTGCCACCCGCGACCATTGCCGCCGCGAAGCCCGAGCTCGCGTCGGTGCCGTAGCGCGCGTGCAGGCACGAGGCCAAGTCCGCCAGCTCCCTGGCGTTTGTCAGCGCGAACCTGGCCATCGCGTTGGTGAGCTGGCCTCCTTCGGCTCTGCCCTTGCCCTTTCCTTTGCCCTTCGGAGCCTCTGTCTTGGTTGCCTTGTCGCGGTCGGGGTCGACTGGCCCCTCGGCGTTGCCCTTCTAGGCCTTGAGCCACGTCGGCGTAGCGGCAGCTGGTCTGGACGCGCACGCACTGCCCCCAACTGTAAGGTGCAAGCTTCCAGGGGAGAGAGCCTGTTAAATGGCTGCAGACATCGTCTACTGTCGACCGCGAGTGAGAGATTGCAGGGGCGCGCAAGGCTTTCCACATCCGATCTGGGCCTAAGGGTCGCCGGGCCTCGGGCCTCACAGCGTCCTCTCTGCAAAGAGCGAAGCAGGTGGCAAGCGACGCCCTTCTGATCAGAGGAAATCTGCTTATCGTGGATACTAGAAGTTACCTGGCGAGAGCACGTGGATGAAACTGCGCATGTCATGTGAATCTCTAAGATGGCATGGCAGGCGCCGACGGGTGGCGCACTCACAATTACAAGGGGCTCCATCCGTAATCATCCAGCATGCGCATCGCTCGAGGTCTTCCTCGGGCCCTCGCCCCCCAGAGAAAGGGGGCGGCCTCGAAACGGGGGGGGGAGTTTGGGCCGAGAAGACCTTGACGCGCAAAACTGCGACATCTATTCAATGAAATTCGTCGGCGGGGTCTTCATTCCTGAGCAGGTTGAAATTGTCAGCGAGCACTTCAAAGGCCCCATTATCCGAATTTTCGGTCGCGCATTTTAAATCGGCACAGAACGGGTGGGCCCAGGGCGATGCATATTGGGCGGGTCGTCCGTCAATTATTATGGGGGGGGGGGGGGCGCGATCCACCTCCATTCCCCCGAGGGGAGAGGCCGGGACCTGAGTGGTAG